ATCAAGATATTCTAATGCTTGATTTATTGTAATAGTAATTTTAATGTTTGGATCTGTTTTCATTGTTTCATTAAGTTGTTGTAATATTTCTTCATTTATTAAATTCGTAGTCATAAATACATCATCAATATATCTACAAAATATTAATAAAGTATCAATATAAAAGAATATAGAAATCATAACTTGAAACTTGCCGGCCATAAATATTATGATGTCTATTTTGATGTTGAATTAATTTTTGTTCCCATTCTAACATATATATATATATATATATATATATTGACGAGAACCATAGTAAATGGTAAACCCATAGCACCGCATTTAATTTGTCGATAATATTTATTTTTGTAAGCAAATGTATTCGTATCTAGAACAGCAGAGGCTAATTTAATGATAGTATCTATTTTGAGGTTTCCAATTTTGCCATTGACAGAATATTTTTGGCAGAACCGTCTTAAAGCAGCAATAGCACCATCTCTTGGTATCATTGTATATAAATCTGCCACATCAAATGTAATAAATAATGTTGTTGAAGTGAGATAACCTTTTTCTGTATAGTCTTTTAATTTTCGAATCAAATCGATGCTATTAATAAATGTTATATCTTTTGTCACATAATTATAAATTGGAGTGAGCAGTTGATCTAAAAAACTTGATATTTGTCTTGATGGTGTATTGATTGAAGCAACAATAGGTCGAACTGATATTTCAGGCTAGAAAAGGAAATGCTTAAGAAATTATCTATGAAAAGTAATTATTTTACCTTATGAACTTTAAGATTGAAATAAATATGAGCTAATTCTAATGTTTTTAAATTAGGATACATTTGTTTATACTGTTCATTGGTAATTTCATTCCGTTCGAGTATATGATCAAGTAATATTATTACTAAATGTAAATTATTGGCTAATGAGCAAATACCATTCGTGATTTCTTGATAAGCATTGGCTTTATTCATATAATTTGTAATTTTTTCTTCATATTCTTGTCAATCGATAAAGAAAAATAATTTACTTTCATCAGTTTGTCCAATAGCAATATTCGCTTTGCGTAATTTTCGTCGCATTGATTTAATCATTTTATAAATGCATCGAGCATTTCCTTCGAGTTTTTTAGGTAATGGTTTGGTATATAGTTGTTCAAGTAAATGTTTAACTTCAGAAAAAAATTCAGTTGCACGTGTATCATTTGTTAAAAACGTATAATTAGTAAGACTTTTACAATTTTCAGCATAGAGCCGGTCGTACTCTTGTTCAATAATTTTTTCCATAGGTTGACGATAAAAGAAACGACTTTGGCAGGGTGAAATAAATTTTAAACCTTTATTAATAATAAGTAATTGTTCATTGGATAATGGTATAATAGTATTAACAAAATGTAAAGAGAGAAACATATTTGTATGATTTCGAATACTTAATTTTGATTTGCTCTGACAACATCTTGATTCATTGAATTGTCTTGTGACGCCGGAGCTTCGTCGAAAAAAGACTTTAATTTTTGTTGTGTAATATAATCAGCACGTTCGATCATACGTTTTTCACATGCTTCAATAGCTGCCATTAATTGTTTAAATATATCTGAATCAAAATTATTTTTCTTTAATTTATTGGTAATAGTTTTTAATTTCTTTTTTTCTTTTTTAGCCATTTTATGCCAATATCGTACTTTTTCTTCGCCAGCTGCTATACTTAATTCAAGCATATCATATTTAAATCGACCAATTTTCTTTAAACGACGAGCAGCTAATATTATTTGTTGCTTGTTATCATTATCATTACTAGAATATTGTTTTGATCCGCTAAGCATTTTCTCAATTCTATCAAGTGAATAATCAAGAAGATTAAATGCTGGTGGTAAACAATTCGAATGGATACGATGTTTTAATATTTCAATTTGTTCTTCCATTTGTTTTTTATTTTGAATGGCTTTCCATATATTACGGATTGAACGAATTTGTTGTTTATTTGGTTTAAAATCGTAAACATTTTTTTCAAAAAGGTGATCTGTTGAGTCTAATTTTAACATTTTTTTGTTATATTCAAATTGTTGTTTTAATTTATGTTGACCTTTACGTACAACAGCTGTAACCATTGCTGATAATGTTGTAAAATCTAATGGAGGATTCATTTCAGATAGACATTGAGGGAATGGCTGTTTACCGAAATCTTGTAATCCTTGTGATGCTTGTTGAAGTTGTCGTTGAATAGTTTGTAGACGTTGTACAATTAATGTTTTTGATCGACCATAAGTATAATTCATACTATTCATAGCAGCCCATTTTTTTATACACGCCCTGATCAAATATTTTCTTGCATACCAATATCATAATAATATTTTCATTGACTTTCTTGTAATTGTACATAGAATAGACGATGTATTAAATAAGCATATTGACGAATATAATTAATTTTATCTTTCGAATTTAATCTTTTAACAATTTCCTTAGCACCTTCTAATGAACTAATTAACATTTTTTTAAATATACGATTTGACACTTTTAAATAATTAGGTATATAAGAATAGTCTTTATTATGATTAATTTGTTTTTTAGATTTTGAACGTTGCGTTTCTGATGTACCATTTGTAGTTACTTGTTCAATTTCATTATTTGCCATCTTTTGTTTTTTGATGATGGTTGAGAAATAGATAATTGACTTAAAGATTTATCAATTGTAGCCGATGATGTTTTTGTTGGCGTATCATTTCTTTTACGTTTTATTGATTTTTTTACTACAGTATCCTGATAATTATTTTTATGTTGTGCCGATTGAGGAATCTAGATGAATATATAAATATTAATATAGTATATTTCATAAGAAAAATACACATTACTCGATTATATTGTATTGCTTCATCATGTTGTTGTCGTCGTTGAAGATTTATTTTTTGATTAACTAATTCAGTAATTGTATCTGGATCTAAACCTTGCTGACGAAGTCTTCGATGTAGATGTCGTGCTTTTCTTTTATCACGACACTTTTTCTTTTGTTTCATCTGTTCATCGTTCTGTGGTTTTACTGGTTGCTGTTGTTGCTGTTGACCAGTCAACACTTGTGTTGGTGAAAGTGTTTCATACCAACGCCCTTGAGCATCTTGACTTGGAGTTTTTAAATTTAATATGGTAGTTGAGGTCATTTTGTTTGTTTCAACATGAAAGATTTTTCGAGAGTAGTGAATCTCTTAAAAGCAAAAAGAAACTATTATTCTGGAGAAGGTTAGAGCCAGCATTAATGAAATATGTCTTTTTCATAAAAATATAGAAAAAAAATCAACAACAAATAATATAATAAAAGAAACCAGAAGAAATGTTCACATTCGCAAGCAGACATAGTCGTTAGACGTAGAATGAATATTATGGTCGATTGATAGCTTTAATATTCATAGTATCAATTTTTTTCTGAAAGTCTATTCTCATAATTTTTTTTTTATCACGTTGAAAATCTTATAAATCTTCACTACTAACAATATATAGCGATGTATTTATTCATGCGTATATGCTCAGACACACTGCTGACTAAAGTATCAACATACCTGAAAAATATCTTCGAGAATGGTCAGAATGGTATTTTTTTAAGAGATTGTAGTGTAGATTGTGTCGTTGCTGTTGTTGTGTTAGTCGGGTATAGGGTGAGGGTGTGGGTGTGTTAAAATAAGAATAATTCCAAGCATCATACGACGCGTTTCGAGTTTGAGCATGTATTCTGGAAGGCGTTGTCTATCGTGGCAGACCATTGAGAAATGTTAGCCATTGATTGTTGAGGATTATTTTGGTGTCGAATTTTATTGTGTAGGTTAGTTTATGAAGTTCGTTTCATCTAGAAGAAATAAATTAGATCTACATTTATTATTAGATATTTTTTTCATAAACATTTGATGTTTTATAGAAAATGCGGAGTCAGTTGAAGAGACGGAGGGTGTGGGTGTGGGGTGTGGGTGTGGGGTGTGGGGTGTGGGTGTGGGGTGTGGGGTGTGGGTGTGGGGGGGGGGGGTGGGGGTGGGGGGGGGGGGGTGGGGGGGTGGGGGGGNTGGTAATATACCTGGGCCATAATTAGCTAAAATAGGGTATTTTGCACCACTATCTCATACGCTACCAGTCAGCCCCTACTATTCCAGAAAATTTGTTCTATGAAACATGTAGAGGCCACTGGTGTGCAGTTTTTGAGAAAGTTTCACGTTGTTGCTCAATTGTCCTGTGGCACAGGACTGAACACACTGAAATGTCATTTTGCCAATAAACAGCCTAGAACTATGGGAAACGGCCCTTTTTAATTACAAAAAAAAACTGCAGCCAAACTTATCGATTATAAAAAATTGAAGAGCACCTATAGCTGTATTGAATTGCGTTTTAAAACGAGATTCATATATATTTATTACAGAGCACCATAAAGCCCCCAGTATTTGTAAATTCCTATAGATTTATATCCCGTATACGGGCTCTTATGACATGAAAACTCAATGAAAATTTTAGCTTCCTATATACCATTCGATGCGCCTTAAAATTCTCTACAAAATCTTATATAGGATGTTCTTGTTCCAACTAGATCACCAAATCCAGCAGGGTCCTTTGTAATTTTGTGGAACTCACGTATATTTTCGAAGAAAATAGTGAGTTTAAGTTTTAGGTTTGGGGTTTGGCGCCCCCCCCCCCCCCACTACAGACACTCCTCCCCCCTCCCCCCATTACAGACTTTAGTGATGGAGAACAAAAGGTGTCAGATTTTCGAGAGTTTCAAAAATTGGTTAAGTTATAATTTTGAAGATTAGTCAACATCATTGTTTGTGAGTTGGTTAACATATATATAATAATGCATAAGATGTGCTGTAGATATCATGGATATGTAAAATAGACTTATCTGCCGATTCAATAATTATAATAATAAGCGAATAGCAACAATGCAAACAAAAAATAGGGTGCCCGTAGAAAAAAAATTCTATTTTAAATATAGAAATAAATAATAAATTCTCGGTCTTGTCATCGATTATTAGTGAAAACAACTACAGTCGATGAGAATTTTTTCAGTTTACGGATGATGTATTAGGATAACAAGGTTGAAGGATATACGTGAGTTCCACATTACAGCTCCGAAGGAGCTGCGCTAACAAGCTTTTTTCTTCATATTCTTGTCGATCGATAAAGAAAAATAATTTACTTTTATCAGTTTGTCCAATAGCAATATTCGCTTTGCGTAACTTTCGTCGCATTGATTTGATCATTTTATAAATGTATCGAGCATTTTCTTCGAGTTTTTTAGGTAATGGTTTGGTATATAGTTGTTGAAGTCAATTTTTCACTTCTGAAAAAAATTCCTTTGCACGTGTATCATTTGTTAAAAACATATAATTAGCAAGATTTTTACAATTTTCAGCATGGAGCCGGTTGTATTCTTATTCAATAATTTTTTCCATAGGTTCACGATAAAAGAAACGACTTTGGCGGGGTGAAATAAATTTTAAACCTTTATTAATAATAAGTAATTGTTCATTGGATAATGGTATAATAGTATTAACAAAATATAAAGAGAGAAACATATTTGTATGATTTCGAATACTTAATTTTGATTTGCTCTGACGCCATCTTGATTCATTGAATTGTCTTGTGACGCCGGACTTCGTCGAAAAAAGACTTTAATTTTTGTTGTGTAATATAATCAGCACGTTTGATCATATGTTTTTCACATGCTTCAATAGTTGCCATTAATTGTTTAAATATATCTGAATCAGAATTATTTTTCTTTAATTTATTGGTAATAGTTTTTAATTTCTTTTTTACCCATTTTATGCCAGTGTTGGGCAACTCCAACTCGGAGTTGAAGTGGAGTTGCAATAGACATGGAGTGGAGCTGGAACGGAGTTGGAGTGGAATTTTACAATTGGTGGATAGAGTTGGAGTGGAGTTGGAGTTGTATTTTTCAATTTGCAGGTAGAGTTGGAGCGGAGTTGAATTGGTCTGGAGTGGAGTTGAATTTGATGTCTTTTTCCAACTCCAATTTAACTCCTGTTGATTTCAAGGCTCGCCAGAAGAAAACGGAAAAAAGTCAACAGTAAAAACACGTGCATGTGTATGGTATTTATGACGCAATTAAGAAAACTAGGAATGAATGATCTTGAATCATTACATCGAGAGAGAGAAAAATAGAGAGATACAGAGAGAATTTAGAAAGTTATTGGTGACGTGATTAAATATCATTTGTTAAACAATTCGGTGCATCGCGGCTGCACTTGCTGAACGGGTCTTTTCAAAAAGTGGATTATTGATGAAACCACATCGAAATCGATTGTCAAAGGACATGTTATCTAAATTAACATTTATTAAATGTAATCTTGACTTGTTTAACTGATATTTCAAGTTTATAATAAAAATTCTACAAAACAATAATAATTCTGCAACTCATGGATATTATTCATAGATTTATATTGAAAAAAAATGTCTTTTTAAACTTGTATTCAAATGAGTTTGACTTAGTAGAATCGGAGTTGGAGATGCATGTTAACAAGGTGGAGTTGGACTTGGAGCGGAGTTAAAAAATTAATCAAGAGTTAGAGTTAGAGTCAGAGCGGAATGTTTGAAACTATCAGTTGAGTTGCATGGAGTTAGAGTGGTATTTATGAAAATAGGAGTGGAGTTACCTGGAGTTGGAGCGGTACATACCTGGAGTTGTCCAACACAGTTTTATGCCAATATCGTACTTTTTCTTCGCCAGCTGCTATACTTACGTAATTCAAGCATATCATATTTAAGTCGACCAATTTTTTTTAAACGACGAGCAGCTAATATTGTTTGTTGCTTGTTATCATTATCATTACTAGAAGATTGCTTTGATCCGCTAAGCATTTTCTCAATTCTATCAAGTGAATAATCAAGAAGATTAAATGTTGGTGGTAAACAATTCGAATGGATACGATGTTTTAATATTTCAATTTGTTCTTCCATTTGTTTTTTACTTTGAATGGCTTTCCATATATTACGAATTGAACGAATTTGTTGTTTATTCGGTTTAAAATCGTAAACATTTTTTAGAAAAAGGTGATCTGTTGGGTCTAGTTTTAACATTTTTTTGTTATATTCAAATTGTTGTTTTAATTTATGTTGACCTTTACGTACAACAGCTGTAACCATTGCTGATAATGTTGTAAAATCTAATAGAGGATTCATTTCAGATAGGCATTGAGGTAATGGCTGATTACCGAAATCTTGTAATGCTTGTGATGCTTGTTGAAGTTGTCGTTGAATAGTTTGTAGACGTTGTACAATTAATGTTTTTGATCGACCATAAGTATAGTTCATACTATTCATAGCAGCCCATTTTTTTTATACACGTCCTGACCAAATATTTTCTTGTATACCAATATCATAATAATATTTCCATTGACTTTCTTGTAATTGTACATAGAATAGACGATGAATTAAATAAGCATATTGACGAATATAATCAATTTTATCCTTTGAATTTAATCTTTTAACAATTTCCTTAGTACCTTCTAATGAACTAATTAACATTTTTTTAAATATACGATTTGACACTTTTAAATAATTAGGTATATAAGAAGAATCATTTTTATGTTTAGTTTTTTTTTAGATTTTGAACATTGTGTTTCTGATGTTCCCTTTTGTAGTTATTAGTTCAATTTCATTATTTACCATCTTTTGTTTTTTTTTGATGATGGTTGAGAAATAGATAATTGACTTAAAAATTTATCAATTGTAGTCGATGATGTTTTTTTGGCGTATCATTTCTTTTACGTTTTATTGATTTTTTTACTACAGTATCCTGATAACTATTTTTATGTTGTGCCGATTGAGGAATCTAGATGAATATATAAATATTAATATAGGATATTTTATAAGAAAAATATACATTACTCGATTGTATTTAATTGCTTCATCATGTTGTTGTCGTTGAAGATTTATTTTTTGATTAACTAATTCAGTAATTGTATCTGGATCTAAACCTTGTTGATGAAGTCTTCGACGTAGACGTTGTGTTTTTCTGTCATCACGACACTTTTTCTTCTGTTTCATCTGCTCATCGTTCTGTGGTTTTACTGCTTGCTGTTGACGAGTCAACACTTGTGATGGTGAAAGTGTTTCATACCAACGCCCTTGAGCATCTTGACGTGGAGCTTTTAAATTTAATATGGTAGTTGAGGTCATTTTGTTTGTTTGAGTATGAAAGATTTTTCGAGAGTAGCGAATCCCTTAAAAGCAAAAAGAAAATATTATTGTAGAGAAGGTTAGAGTCATCATTAATGAAATATGTCTTTTTCATAAAAATATTTAAAAAAATCAATAAAACGTGAAAGAAATGATACGCCAAAAAAGACATCATCGACTACAATTGATAAATCTTTAAGTCAATTATCTATTTCTCAATCATCATAAAAAAAAACAAAAGATGGTAAATAATGAAATTGAACTAATAAATTCAAATGGAACATCAGAAACACAATGTTCAAAATCTAAAAAAAAACTAAACATAAAAATGATTCTTCTTATATACCTAATTATTTAAAAGTGTCAAATCGTATATTTAAAAAAATGTT